CCAGGAAACAGAAATATGGGCACTGAACAAATTGAGAGATGGGATAAAGGCCCAGTGAGAAATTTAGATGTTACTGAAGATTTCAAGGGGAAGATACAACCAATATCCAAAAAAACTGTCCTTTGGATATTTCTGGTCTCCCTCCAGTATCTTTTTGGTTGTCAGCCACCAGAGCCTATAAAAATCCATTGTCATGAGAGTTCAGTTCTGGACCCGCATTTGTATACCCCACTCAGCAGAACAGAAGCTCTGTAGGTAGCTGGACTCCCCATCTCTAGCCAAGAGTTTATCAGTCTTACTGCTGTTTGATTATGTTTTTCAGGAAGGGTCACAACTCCCATCCCACGTAGCTTATTATTATATTTATAGCAATACTTAGAAATCTGCTAAGAAAATACAGCTTTTGTTTTCAATCAGTATTACTGGCAACTGTTACCATTATACATACCTTTTAGAATTTATAAAAGGCTTTTGCATTTATTATCTCATTTGTTCCTTACCACAAAACCACGAGTTATTAACCTTTTAAAATGAGTAAACTCAGAGGAGTTATGCTGGGCTATGCTAATTCTTACATTTACTTCCAGATCTGAAATATATATATATATAATATATATATTCAATTTAATACGTTAGTAAGCTGAAGTGCAAAATCACTCATTGCAGTGAAGAAAAGGCAAACTAGCCTATATTACATGCTGAGTGCCTGTACCTGATGCTTTCACTTTTATCTTATTTAGCCCCTATAACCAAGCAGGATAAGCATTATTCCCATTTTACAAGTGAGAAAACTAAACAGTTCTTTGTTTCTACTTGTTGCTAATGATTCAAACCTTCGTTCCTGCCAGTGGAGTGTGTTTTTACTATAGTTGACTCGAACAGTGGGGTTAATTCGCTATGATTTAGTCAGCCCTCTGTATTCACGGTTCCTCCATGTCCACAGATTCAACCAGCTCTGGACCATGCAGTACTGTAGTGTTTACCGTTGAAAAATGTCTACATTTAAGTGGACCAGGTAGTTCAAACTCGCTTTGTTCAAGGATCAGCTGCGCGTTTTCTCATACTCTAGTAAATTTTCTTACATAAGATAGAAGAACCATCCTGATATGGACTGTGTTTTCCATATGGTATTTGTCCATGAACACAATACCTTTGTATGCCTGAAGAATTTAAGGGAGAAAAATATGACGGCTAGTAACCTTCGCTGTGTTAGTATCTTAGTTCAGGAAATACTCAGTTCTTTCACCATTTCCGCTTAAATAAGGGAGGTTGCTGTGCTCTTTTCCAGGCCCCGTGCTCCCTCAGAAGCCTTGCTGCCTTATTTGTAGAGCCAGAATCGTTATTAACTCTTCACCAAATCTGTGCCCAAATCAGAGATGGGGAAAGTTCCCCACCACTGACCTTAAAACGGTTAGTGCTCATTTCCCCCCCTGAGATTTAAGGAAGCCAAGGATATAATCTATGTCAAGAGACCTAAGGACTTCAGATACTTTAAGGGATTGCATATTTGTTTCTATAGTGGATGTGATCCTCCAAGGAAGAGCTTGAGAAATTTTAATTGATGGAATGGATTCTTTTTTTTCTGATTGGAAAAGTATACATGATTATTGTAGAAAACTTGTAAAGTACAAAAATACCTAAAGAAGGAAATAGATTTTGCCCATATTATTACAACTCTGTTAATATTTTGTTATATTTACTTCTAGCCTCGTTTCTGGAACCATGTGTATATAATTTGATGCTCTAATTTTTTGTTTTCTTTAACCCAGCATCTCATAAACACATACTCATGTCTGTCTACAAAAATATTATAATATCCTTCATGGCAATATGGTATCATTTGATAGTCATTCTCCTCTTGGACATCGTAAAGTTTCCAATTTTTGCTTATGACTAGTTTCATGATTGGTGCCTTCAAACATAAATCTTCTTCATCTCTGATCTGTTTCCCTTGAACTGCTGTAACTTGTTCAAAGGGTTTAATAGTTTTTAAGGCCCTGAGTTGCATATCTGAAAGGATTTAGTTTTGAGGTGTTTTTGTTTTTGGGTTTTTTTGGCCTTTCAATCTTTGAAGGAAAGGAGTTGGGGGCCAGTCAGGTTGGCAAAGACTAAAATGCGCAATGTCTGGGGAGAGAGCAAGAAAACAGGTTGGTCAGGTGATATGAAGTGATTCACAGGAAATTTAAAGGTTAACTGCCAGAATTTTGCATGTAAATTTTTGACCCAGCGGTTAATTTATAAGAATTCTCACAGAGAAACCTAGAAGCTTGTAAAGATTTGTGCACTGGGATATTCATTTATAGCATTACTGATAATAGCAAAAATTTGGAAGCCATGGCAATGCTCATCAATAGGAGCTTATATAAATAAACTTTGTCCATTCGGTGAAATTCCGTGTGCTTTTTCAAGAATGTGATAGAGCTATATGTTATGACGTGGAAAAAAATACTAAACATTTTATGTGATAAACCCAGCTTGAACACAGCGTATAAATTTTGCCTTCCACCTTTCACTCCACCTTTTTTAATCCATCTCCATGAGTACTGGGGTGGGGAATGCAGAGAATAGACGAGTGCGCTGATGAGCAATGGAAATGCTGACCAGCCACATTCCTTGACATCAGTCTGCTGTTTAGCTTTGTTAACACCACTTATTTTTAATTTTCCTTGGTGAAGAATGACGTTACTCATGAAGTGTTTGATACAGTAAGAATTGTTATCTTCTGTTTATTATTCCCTCTCTCATCTGTGTATTTATGTTGTAAGTTTGTTGTTGTGTTGTTGTTTTAACAAATCCCAGGAGAACTAACCGGCTTGATACAAAGCTGGACTGTGTTATCATCCCAATTTGTTTCAGTGCAAAGTGATGTTTCTATAAGAGATTGGAAAGGAGCACTTTTATAGCCTCTGAAAACAGGATTTTATCCCCCATGTCACCCATTTGCAGTTTGATGAGTCTTGTGAGCTTGTCATCTCTGTCACGTTATCAGAGCATGAATCACCACATTGCCTCAGTGAGGTTGAAGCAAATACTTTTTGATACAAGAAAATGGCAGCATATAACAAACAAGTAACAAGTTCAGTACACAGCCAGTTGATAAGAATATATGATTATATTTCTTAACATTCTGGAAGATGCTTTGTTATAAGTTGCAGGCACAAAGTAATGCCTGATAAATTAATTGGTGAATCTACTACCTGACATTATGGTGCTACCTAGTAGACCTTTGTGCAAGAATGTGCCATATCTGTGCTGTCCAGTAAGCCATCAGCCATATGTGGTTATTAAAATGTGAGTAGTGAAGCTGAGAAACTGAATTTTTAATTTTATTTTATTTTAGTCACATAAGTATATAATTCTGTCACATATAATGTTGCCTGATTGGTTTTTTTGTTTAATATAGTACATTTTTAGTGATTGACTGCTAATGGTAGGGTTATAATCAGACCATTTTATACCTTCCATTTAGAAGTAGATATCTGGGTACATTTTAAAATGTGGAATTATAGAAATGTATGTTAGAGACTTCTATATCTGAATTATTTTAAGGAAGAGATTCTTGGGGCTGTTACGGTTCTGTTAAATTGTTTTCGTTTAGGCTAGAAATTTAGGAGATAGCCAAAAGCCTAATCTTGGACTCCTTACCATGTTACTGTAGCATGTGGCATTATCTTTGTCTATTTGAAAATAGTGAGCCATGGTTAGCTCAATTCAAAATCAGTTGCATGATGTTCGTTGTACAATTTTTTTTTATTCAAATTCATTTCCCCCCACTCCCCACCTTAGTGGAGGCACTGGGGATTGAACGCAGGATCTCATACATGCCAAGCATGCTCCCTGCCACCAAGCTATTTTCCTCCCCGTTTTACCCCAATTTTTATTAAACAACAAGCCACATTTTAGGCACTCAGTAGCCACATGTGACTGATGGCTACCATATTGAACAGCACAGATCTAGAAAATCTGAATATCACTGAGCCAACTTCATCTGGTTGACATCGATAGAGCTCTGTACCCAGCAATTGTAGAATACACATTTTTCCAGGTGCACATGTAATTTTCACCAAGGCACACCATATGCAAGGCCATAAGACAGTCTCAAATCACAAGATTGAAATCTCATAGAGTACATTCTGTGACCACATCAGAGTTAAAGCAGAAAGCAGTAACAGTGAGTTACCTAGTAAAGCCCATGTATCTGGAAATTAAGCAACACACTTCTAAATAATTTATGGTGCAAAGAGGGAATTTTATAGAAACTTAGAAATTTCAAATTAAATGATAAAATATACTGTATCAGAATTTTTAGGGTTTAGCTTAAGCAATATTTGGGGGGAAGTTTATAAGTTTATATGGTTATATTAAAAAGGGAGAAGCAGGCTTAAAATCGATGATCTAAGTTTCTACCTTAAACTGCAAAAAGTAAAAATAAGGAAACTAAATCCCAAATAAGGTAGCAGGAAGAAAATCAGGATAAGGATAGAATACCAACAAACAGAAAAATGAACTGCAATGTGATATTCCCTCCGTTTGATAACTTTTATTAAGGAACTTGTTAGCCCATAATGACTAGCAATAACATCAGTGAGAAAAAAAATTTTACTTTAATAGTTATAAGGAACCAATTTATAGGTTAGAACAGGGTTAAATTAAGCTTAATTAAAATTATTTTTATAATAGAAGCCTCAGTTTCCTTGAATTCAGATTCACTTTAGTGTTCTGATGTGCCTGTTTTGGAAGACAATTTAACTTAGGAGTGAAAAAAACCTATAGGCACATTTTTTAAACCCATGAAAGAGTTCTAAAGCTGAGAATTTGAACTTAGTAGTTTTAAATAACCAAATGATAAGCAGCTGTGTGCATCCCATGGAGAAGATGTGTTCAGGATGGTGACATTTCTGGAGGAGACCGCAGAAATGATTGGCTCTCAGGAATTTGCATAATCTCATTCGACTGAAAAGAGTGAAAGTTTAAATAAAACATTGAATTTTTTCTTATAGGTTTATAGACAAGAAGGAAAGGTTAAGCCAACTTAAGAGCAAGCAAGAAGAATTTCAAAAAGAGTGAGTTTTCATTTTACTTTTTAATTTGTGGAGGTTATCCAGTTACCACATGATTTAATTCAGTGCTGTGGTATGCAGTTATGTGGGTTACCAATTCATTGAATTTAGGATACAAAGTATGAAGAGCAGTGCATCTAGGAGAAGCAAGATAATAGAGATTATCAAGTTTTTAGGAAACACTGGGTACCTGGTTCACAGCAGGCAGTGATGGGGTAGATGAATCAAACCCCTGGCCCTGATAATTAATGTGTAGTAAGTGGGTCCAGGAAAGAAGGCATATTAGACGTAAATCAGTAGTGGCGCTCTTACAGGATGTTATTGCTTCTCTTTACCTTTATTCTTCTGTATCAGGGTTTTGCAAAGTGTGGTCTGCAGATGATCTACATGAGAAGAGTCCATTAACTTGGGTAATGGTTAAACATGCAGCTTCTTGGAATCCTGTTCTCAGGTGTTCTGATTCAGTGGGTCTGTGGGGAGGCCCCGGAATCTGAGTATTAATAAGCACCCCTGATGAATCTCTCATCCTCTGGATTTGAGAACTGTCCTGTAGAACCTTATGTCCCAAACTGATCTAGTCACTGTTTCCCGTACACATCCCCAAGTCTGATTAACATATTTATAAGCAGATTAAATCTTCTGAGATGCCCTGCATCAGAGAAACCTACTTGGATTTATATAACTCAGTCATTTCTTCTAACTTACTCTCTCACAGAAACTTCTATTTTTTTTTCCCATAGAACACTTCATTTCATAGAACAGATTTTTGCCAAAGCTGGCTTATGCCATTTTTGTGGGGAACTGACAATAGCATTTTGGATAGTGAATTATCTTGTAACTGTCATTATTATTAATTATGACTGATGGAAATTACTGACTATGATGGAAGACAAAGGCTATGGCTGTTATGGAAGTTTATTATGAAACTTTATAGAAAGACTCTGGGCAGTGTTAAAAGTGCAAAAGGAAGGAGGTGAGGAAAAAAATACAGAGAACAGGGAATTTGGAAAACATTTTTAAATGCTTACATCCCACTTTGGTATTTCCAGCTGTTTCTAAGACCTTATTTTAAAGAGGTGTTGATTTTGCATTTTTGAGCTTCACAACGTTTATTATCTTAAGAGCTTATTTCCTATGTCTCTTCTCCATACAGAGTGTTAAAAGCTATGGAAGGAAAATGGATAACAGATCAGTTGGTAAGCTATCAGATGTATTTAAGTAATATTCTTTATACTTGAAGTTACATGTTTTTAAGTTGGTAGAGCTTAAAAAAATCATTTTGAATTTAAATTTATTTTTGATCATTTTTTGGCAGTCCTCTGTGAATATATTTGTAGTGTGGGCTTCTCAGATATTTCATCTAGATACCAAAAATGGGGTATTGGCAATTAATTGTGGAACCACCGTAAGGAATAATTATGGAGTCTGGTATTGGCATAGAAATACAAGAACAGTGAGGTGTCATTTTTGAAATCACTTACTCATCATAACCACACACTTTATAGATGGATTAATGGTTGAATGTGAAGAGTAAGCTAAAAAATATTAAAAGAAAATATGGGAGAGTATTTCTGTAATCTGGGGGTGAGCAGATCTTTATAAGCATAAAAGAGAACATTTTGACAGACTACATAAAAGTTTAAAAGTTCTATATGTTAAAGACCCTAGCAAAATGAATTTAAACTGGGAAAAAATGAATACAACATATGAAGATAAGGAGTTTGATTGATTGCACTTTTATTCACTGTTGGTGGGAATATATATTAACATATTCATTTGGGGGACAGTTTGGTGGTGGTTTGGGTTTTTTTTTAAATGCATGTAGCATATCTGGCCATTTTCCTCCGAAGAAAATGCACGTGAATACAGAGACTTAAGGGTAAAGAAGATGATTTCCTGCATCACTGATAGTACTATATACTCATCAAACAGAATGAGATAATTAAAGAATATGGTCAGTCTACATTTATTGGTGTGAAATGATGTCCAAGATAGATTTTTTAATAAAAAAAGGTACACTAGGGTAAAGTATGATTCCATTTATGTATGTGTTTTAAATATATGTATACTCTAAAAAAAAATCCTGAAAAAAAATTGTCAACCTGTAATTGAGATCACTCCTGAAGAATAGGAAGGAGTTAGGCTAATAACTTTCTTCTCCTTTGTGATACTTAATTTTTTTCATAATAATAAGCATTATAATTTTTAAATAATATTTAAATGTAATGTAAGTGAATTCTGCATATGCTCTGAATGTTATATAAACAAAGTGTGTTTGTTATATGGAAAAAGATTATAAAAGACTATTTATAAAGAATCCCATCCTAAATTTTTCAAAGTTCCTTGTTCTGTTTTCTAGTTTTTTTAATCACAAGCTTGAATATTGATTCTTAAAGACTAATAGCTCTTAAAAGTGAAGACATCTCATTGCTAGTTCATTCCTGAATCCTTCAGTCCCCATGAATCTGTTCTCAGATGTTTCTCTCACCCCACTGGAATTTAAGTAATATTAGCTTATTGTATCAGTGAGATAATACAATTGATGGTCTCCTCAGTAACCAGCACTAAGGGTTTAGAGCAGCTCATCAGTACAACTCTCTGATGATGCATGTGTTCTCTATCCACACTACCCGGTATGGTAGCCGTTAGCCACATGGAGTGTTGACATGTACCACCTGGGTAGGGGGAATAGGCACTGGATTTTTAAATTATATATAATTCTAATAGATTTTTAAATAGCCACATGGGACCAGTAGCTGTATATTGGACAGAGCAGGTTGTGAGAATATCCTTTAACATTTTCCTGTGTGTTCATTAACACATAAAAGAACTATGCGAATTTCTCTCTTTCTTAATTTCCTAGCAGCATCTGCACTGAGCCTTAATAACATTTTTTCTTCTTTGTAATTCACCAGTTATAAAACCTGTAATAAATACAATTGGTCTTTTCTTCATTACATTTTCTAAGATACACCTCTATATATGTAGTGGCCTTAGGTGGATAATCATATTAATTATAAGAGATCAACGTTTGTGATATTTATTGCATTCCTTTTTTAAGAGATGGAAAATAATGTCCTGCAAGATGAGAATTGAACAGCTGAAACAAACTATATGTAAAGGAAATGAAGAAATGAAGAAAAGTAAGTAATTTGTCCCCCTCTCTCCAGACCTAATAAGGGGCTCATGTGGTATTTTGTGGGATTAATAAACTAGAGAGAGAAACTAGAGAGAGAGGAAGTGGGGGGCAACAGCAACCGGGAAAAGTTTACTGCTTGCCTTTCTCTTTGTAAAACATTTGTGTAAGGAATTTTTTAACATTTTAAATCAGCTGTACTTCAATTAAAAAGCAAACAACCAACCAATCCATTTAAAATATGGGCAGAAGAACTGAACAGACTTTTTCCAAAAGAGGAAATGCAAATGGCTAACAGGAACTTGAAAAGTTGCTCAGCATCACTAATATCAGGGAAATGCACATTAAAATCGCAATGAGGTATCATCGCACACCTGTCAGAATGGTCATCATCAAAAGGAACACAAATAACACATA